AAGACGCTTACTCCTTGGAAGGAAAGTTATGACCAACCTAGACAGCATATTAAAAAGCAGAGACATTACTTTGCTGACAAAGGTCTGTCTAGTCAAAGCTATGGTTTTTCCAGTAGTCATGTGTGGATGTGAGAGTTGGATGATAAAGAAAGCTGAGCGCCGAAGAATTGATGCTTTTGAACTGTGGTGTTGGAGAAGACTCTTGAGAGTCCCTTGGACTGCACGGAGATCCAACCAGTCCATCCTAAAGGAAATCAGTCCTGAATGTTAACTGGAAGGACTGATGCTGAAGCTGAAGCTGAAACAGCAGTTCTTTGGCCAACCTGATGTGAAGAACTGACTCATTGCAAAAGAGCCTGATGTTGAGAAAGATTGAAGGCAGGAGGAGAAGGGGACCACAGAGGATGAGATGGCTGGATGGCATCATTGACTCAATGGACATGAGTTTGAGCAAGTTCTGGGAGATGGTGAAGGACAAAGAAGCCTGGCATGCTACAGCCTATGGGGTTGCAACGAGTCAGACACAACTGATTGACTGAACAGCAAGAACAAATTGTTTTCTCTATGTTTATCTATTTTATCTCCTGATAACAATGGCAGTTGTGAAAAGCAGTACTCTAATGATGGTGATGTACAGCACATTTGGAAACAGTTGCTCAGCAGTGACACATCTCTGGGTGAAGCGATTTCTACCGACTCATAAAACAAATCTCTAAGGTTCTAAATATCAATTGGATATTGCTGAAAGAAAGTACAGTTCTCACATCAAGGGCTATCTCCCATTCCCATGCCTGGCTGATTTTCCAGAATGTAAACAAACAGAGCATTTCCCTAGTCTGGGATCTTTGTAACTCACTCATGTTATGGTTCAGTCTATTAGCAAATACTTATTTAGCATTTGTTAATTCCTATCAAGATTGTGCTAAATCAATCCCAGAGGGTGATGATCTGTACGTTAAGGAGAAGAGAAAAAAAAAAATCACCCTCTGTCTTGTTAACGCATAATGTTAATAGCTACTAAGCAATTTTTTTGTGTCATACACTGTGCTAAAACTGCTAAAACTTCTGCATGTATGTCATTTGCTCCTTGCCACAATCTGTAAGATAATTTTGTTCTCATTTATAGATAAAAAGGCAAAGGTGCATAGCTTGTTCAGCCAGTAAGCGGCAGGGCTAGGACTTGTGTTAGAATTCGTTCGTCATCTTCTGCGCTACTGTACTTACGTGTCTCATGACCTTATGGAGGTCAGAATTTCTTCACTTTTTGTTTGGGTTCCTGGCATTTCTGCCTTTAAACATCTTCCATTTTTTTCTGTTAGATTTATTGTCAAACAAATAAAGCATTTATTGTGGTAAAGTCACCGACTCAATGGACACGCGCTTGAACGGGCTCCAGGAGTTGGTGATGGACAGGGAGGCCTGGCATGCTGCAGTCCATGGGGTCGCAAAGAGTCGGACACGACTGAGCGACTGGACTGAACTGTGGTAAAATACTAACTAACCCCCTCAAGAGAAAAAGACTATAAGTAGTAAAACACATTTGAGAGAGTGCATTAAATAAGTCGGGCAATGCTGGGGTATTATTAGTGAAACTTCTTCCTGCCTTTCTGTAACTTTAAATCTACTTATAAACCCCTAGACCCTCAGCTTACATGTGTAGAGTGACTTAACAGTGTTACTGTATATCTGGCTATGGGTACGTGAGGAAGATTTCAGTTCCTGGTGCAAGATTACGAGTAATCCAGTAATCTCAAACACTTCTAGGAAGGAGAAGGAATCATTTTTCTTTTTCAATTCTGCACCTTTTCTTTTTGCTTATTCATCACATTTTAAACAAACAGACTGAAGAAAGTTGTTATTAAAGCCCTCCTTAGGCGTCTTCAATTTCAGTTTTAAACCAGGTTCAAAATATTCTGGCAAAAATTAAAGGCAACACTGAAAACGTTTGCATAAATTTTAAGTTGTGCAAAATGCCATAGAACTAAACTGAGCTGAAAGAATAACTAATAAGCATCTCCTTTTAGATCTTTGTCCTTTTATCCTGATTGGTGATTATTTTGGTTTTAAAAAATTAATTCTGAAGTGCATTCCTTTGCCAGAGTATCTGCCTTACACTTACTATTCTAAGTTGAATTTGTTAGAAGTTCGGTGTTTACTTTTAGAAGTGTAAAGCCTTATTAACATGCTAATAAATAACATTTGATATCTATTAGTAATATTTCTGTATTTGCCCATAAAATGAAATAAAAACATACTATCTACAAGGGATTCCATGTCTCTACTACATTCTGTTTACTTGAAACCACTGGTTCTCATTTCATTGTTACAGAGAACTAATAAACTTGTCACAAATGGAATCAGGTTGGAGGAAAAAGACCATTTATGGGCTCAGTGATGAATCTAATCTCCTGTAGCTCAGACCTTAAAGAACTGAGAGATCAGCACTATAGAGATGCCATTTAACTGCACAACATCAGTGCTAATTAAGTGTAGAGCTTTGCTTTCCTATACCTTTCCTTCTGCTCTTTCCCTCATGGTATTGACGTGTGTGCTTTCAGGTGGCCTAATGTCAGACCCAGAAGTCAGAAAGAGTTGCAACCTACTTGAGAAAGTCATGGCAAAAATATAATCCTTTTTATTACACAGTGAAATAAATATTACAATGTATACAGTTAATGGTTTTTATTTGGACATTATATTTTATTGTGATATAGTGTTTTTTAACACTGTCACATGACATCTGTCAAAAATGAGGTTTTTAGAATGCTCTTCTGGCCTGTGTAATTTTGAGAAAAGACTCTAGAACAGTTTTCCAGGATATCCTACTGGGATGTAAAATGTGTACAAAAATATCCCTGATGGTAACACTGCCATTTATTGACTATTTGCTCATAAACCTGCACTGTCAGCAAGTGGTATTTCCACTACTCCATTCTGTAGATCTGTTAAATAAACAAATATAGCTATGTATACACACATATACATCCATACCCATATATACATACACATACTTCAACTTGTCTCTCAGAGTTAGTATAGACTACTTTGACTCATGTGGACCCGGATTACAGTCTAAGTGCCAACATTTAATTACAATGTAAAATATGTATTTTACATATATGTTTGAAGTCTGTTTCTCTGATTTAAATGAATGAAATTAATAATTTTCACCTACTGAGGGTTTTTGTGAGCATTAAATGAGAACATACATGAGAAACACCCAATACAGGTTTTGAAAATAATAAGCTTTTAATAAATAGTGTTGATTTTTATGATACTGGCAATTTAAAGGAGTGTTTTCCTTAGCAACCACGATGCACATTCCAGTGTATTTTTATTCATTAAATTAATGAAATTCTTTCCTATGACAGGACCTGTGCCTTTGCTACTGTACATAATGCTTTTCCCTTCACTCTTTCAGTGATAGCTCCTTTTCATCCTTTAGAGTCTCTGCTCAAATATCACCTCTTCTCAGGAACTAAACCTAATTAACCTGTCTAAAGCAAACCTCCGCCCTTACCCCCCATGACAGTTCCTGGGTATCTGCTGCATTCATGTCCTTGTCGTCTTCTTTGATACGCAGGCCCTGTGAAGGCAGAGAGACTTTACCTTTGTTGTTGATAACTGTATACTCAGTGTCTATCACAGTGTGTCTGTCAATAAACATGGATGAATGGGTGAATTAATTAAATGAATAAATGAGTGGAAGGGAAGGAGGTAACAAGAAAGGAAGCAATGAAGCGGGGAAAGACACCAGAAGGAAAGAACAAAGGGCGGATAAAAGAGATAAAGGACAAAAGGAAGAAACTTATATGGCCTGAGGAATGGTTTAAAAGTCAAATAAAAATTTTCTGGTTCTTACTTTATTTTCTTATCCCTGGTCAGTATGTCTCACCTTATCTTCTCCTTCCAGAACCTTACAAGGTTTGCTCCAGGGTGACCTCTGTGAGACTGGAAGTAATTCTCATAGGACACCAATACCTTGGAAAGGAAGGTGGCCAAACTTCCTGTAAAGGACCAGGTTCTAAATATTTTCATACTTTCACAGGCCATACGCTCTCATACAACAACTCAACTCTGACATCATAGAATGAAAACAGCCATATAAAGTACGGAAAGAAATGAGTGGGCTATGTTCTAACAATACTTTATTTATGGAAAGTGAAATTTAAATTTCTTATAATGTTGACATGTTGTGAAGTATTGATTTTTTTTCCAACCAAGTAAAAATGTGAAAACCATTCTTAGCTGGTGGACTGATAAAGACAGGCGGCAGGTTGGAGTGACCTACTGTCCTACCTTGCTGACCCCTGCCTTGGAGTAAACTATACTTTATGGTTTTCAGTCTCAAGAATGTCTGCCTTTTGAAAGATGAACTGCCGAGGGGAATTAATGTTTGAATTCTTCCTCAAAGAATAAATTTCTGTTGGTAGAATTTTAAATAATTTTGCAAATTGAAGGAAAGTAAAATTTGGGGTATTCAGTCAGACCTTCCTGAACTGTAGAATCACACTGTATTAGTGGTCTGTTATCCACAGGTAAGGTTATTAGTGTTAAATAGCTTTCATTACTAGCTAAAACTGCCCAGGTACATCTGCTAACAACTCACATCTTATTTCCTCTCTCATTCCATAGACTTTGGAATCTGGGATCAGTTTCTTCCAGGGATGATTTTTGAAAGCAAAACAACTGGGGATATTTTGAAATTAATCACTACTCTTTTACTTATAATCCTGGAGAGTAAAATATTTTAAAATTCAAATAATGTTTTCCCTAAAATTTGTGACTTTCATTTGGGTAACCAGTTATTTCAGAGAGCATTTTAAAATCCTATGTGAGGTCATTTTATCTAAATGCAGAAACTTCAAAAATCATTAGAAATTATTATGATCCTCTTAGTGTTATTTTTATAGCTATTACTATTTATAGTGCTTTAAGTTATTTTAAGATAATAGAGCTTGCCAACACTTTTTTCTTTACTTACATTCTCTCTTAAACAGCCAAAGCTACTATTTAAAATGCCACCTTTGGAAGATGCTAGTCAGACTGCAATGGAAAATCAGAAAGAAGCTCAATTTGAAGAAAAAGCAGTTAAGTATTTCATAGGTAGACTATTTAGGATACTTGGAACTGAATTGTCAAAATACATCTACTTTATTTCAGGACATACAGGGTAAGTTAGCCTTCAGGTATGCTTCTCAGAAATTCAACTGCAAACTAAGTTGTTGGGCTTTTTCCTCCAGTTTTCGTAGATGCTAAGAATAGTGCACTGTTGACTATCAGAATACAGATAGTCTAAGGCTTGTTTTAAATCCTTTACTCATCTTTCTCTTCCTACCTGTACTTGTATATTAAAAAAAATGGAGATCAGTAATTGTTCTAAGCTTAGTCAAGCTGAATTAGAAGCAAGAAAAGCCTGAGTTTTGTCAGCCAAATATATTATTTTATAAATAGAACAACTGTTTTATATCTTAATGTTAATTCTGAACAGCAGTCCTCTCTTTGTATAGAATGCTGAGAGAGATCTGTACACAGTAGCCCACAGAAGGAATGTGGGTGTGAGGATGAGAGAGTCTCTAATACCGTGTTCTTTATATTTTAATTCCTGGAAAGAATTGAGTAAATGACTCTACATGTAAATTAGGATGTGGATGGTTGGAGTTGCTCAAAGGTGAGCAATTTAATTCCCAAGGTGGACTGTTAGCTCTGTGTTACTTCATGACTTAGCCATGTGACATGTGTGGCAGTCGACAGTAAAGTGCTGAAAGTGAAATACTCGAGAGGAGGCAGCTTGGGACAAAGGGTTCTGTGCTTCTGTGGGTGTCCTTGTGAGAATTCTTCACTCGGAAACCCAAGAGATGCTAACCTCAGGGAGTCTCATTAGATCAGCTATGTCTGGTGGCAGTCAGATACACACCCTGGAAAAAAAAAAGCATATTCTATTGTTTTTCACAAGTTATGCATAACAAAAACCTACTCATAAATTTCCCATAATCACCACTGCACTATGATTTGCATAAGAGTTCAGAGCATATTCAGCTGATATATGACTAGCCTCACAACTGGAGACATGTACTTTATTTCTCAAAATGTAAATCCTTGAAAAAAAAAAAAAACATGATATGTTGGTTTCTGGGTTGTTAGCTTTTCCCCCTAGTACTCAACTCCTATTCCTGCATCGCTTTTTGGGGACAGTCAATCTTTGGAATTATGTTGGTTGTCATTTGCATTACCCCAACCACAATCATGGCCTTTATATTATCCGCAAACAACTTTTAGTTGTGCTCCAGTCTTAGATGTCATTCACTGAACTCTTGTTGCATGTTACTGGAAGTTTCCCTGTGGAACTGAGCAGTACCAGCAGAAAGAGAATTCTGTCTTTTGCTCTTCGTCTGGGATGTAGTCTTATCCTGTAGGTGCACAGCCATGCAGCATGTTACATTGTGCATTAAAGAAGAAACTTAACAGTGGTTCTTCATTTTAAAGGGGAGGGTTTGGGGGGGAGAAATCTCATGCATTGCTTTGTGATCTGAAACATAAAGGGTCAATCTGAGATTTTCTTGGTATTAGTTTTGTACTGTTGAATGGAAATGTTTACAGGAACCTTAAGCAAAGCCTGTCTCTAGCCTTTCTGGCTGCATTTTCCTGTGGTAAATCGGTTGAAACCGACCAACAGAGCCCCATGTCCATATCTTTCTCTTCATCTTTCTTCTCCGCCCCCACAAACCCACATACACATCCCACGTCAATGGAAGTGCAACCTCAACTTTTCCTAAATAGTGTTGAATGGAAGTGCAGTAGTCAGTAGTGACCTCGTAACAAACAGTCTCACAAACCGAATCACCAGCCTGAGAATACAGCAGAAGAAAGCTCCAGAAGCATAGCTGGCTGCCTCGGCTCTCTATTTGGCAATGATAGTGGATGGCAGAACCGATCAGAAATGTGGAGCACACACTCTGACTCCATTCTTAAATTTTGTGATAGTTCCTGTTTCTGATTCTCTAGTCCACAAGGATAGCAAGGATCATTACTAGGCTAGAAAATGATACATCCCTTTAAACTGGTTTTTCTTGATAAATCAAATGTTGGCTTTTCTTACTGACAATGTTTTAGATAAAATCCTGATGCCTTTCTCTGGTTTTCTTTGCTGCCTTTCCGTTATGCTATTTTGAACCCTGAAGTAGATTATTTGAAAAGACACCTAAGCAACTGGTGAAATGAGTTAACGAAGATTGACTGTATGATTAGAACTGAACTGAAATTGAACCCTAGATAATGGGAAACCACTGCAAATTGCTCTAATGTCATTCATTCTGAAGTTCTTTTAACATACAGAGTAACTTCGTCTGACTTTAGACAACATGCAGTTTTATGTATGGATCATTGACTCATGTATACTCAAAGCCAAGGTATGCTACATCTTAAAGTTGTTTTTATTTTAGTGTTGCAACATTGTGATTGTTTACAATTTTTACCTATTTTAATTTTTTAGAATAATGCAAGAAACAGTGACCTTTGGTGGTGATTAATAAAAGCCTTTTCTTTCATTCTAATATCTTGACACATGGAGAAGAATACATTTGAAATTATTTCTCTTTTAATTACCAAAAATTGATTGACAGTTTGTTGAATGTAATGAATTGTCATGTGGAAATGCATAAAGGAAAAATGGGACACATTTGCCTTTCATTTGCTATCTTTCATATAGGAAGCAGCAGGTAAGGTGTGGGTGTTCTTTACACTGAGTTAACATTGACAGGAAAAAGCCCTGTAGTTTTCTCTCTGGGTGAAGAAGCTGAGTGGACTTTTCTTCCAGAAGACAAGCGTTGTGCTTTTAGAACAGTAATGAGAGGAAGTCCTCATTGTAGATTTTCTTTTTTGAAAGTTATATGTCCATCATGGCCCTTCAGTCCCAGAGAAGTTTCCAGAATTAGTCTATACTTGTACTGTTTCTTAGAGTTGGAAAAAGTAGAGACTCCTGTNCATATCTTTCCTTCCAAGGAGTAAGCGTTTTTTAATTTCATGGCTGCAGTCACCATCTGCAGTGATTTTGGAGCCCCCCAAAATAAAGTCTGACACTGTTTCCACTGTTTCCCCATCTATTTCCCATGAAAAAGTCAGTAGATCTGTACAACTACGCTTACCAGAAGCAGAAGAACTCTTGAGTATTTAGACCTAAGAACCTCTATTTCATTTCTTAGGTGGAATGGATGAGCCAGTGTGGTTCATTGACTGGCTCAGCTGAGTCAAATAGGCTGTTAATGATCAGGGATGCAGATACCAACTATCCATTTATCACTCATGTCCTAACTTAGCTCACACATATGTTCCCATCTCCAGTGATGCTAATGAATTTGTTTTGGCTTATTCATAAATTCTGATGTACACCCCATTGTGACCAAGTAGCAAAGGAATATGTACAGTTCAAGACAGGTTGATAGCCTCAGGATAAAAAGTTAAATAAATCTTTTTTTATAGCACATGTGCTATTGGCCTCCCAAAAATACAACTCACCTTACTTGCTTGATCTGTCAAGCCCAAAGTAAATTAAAAGGTGATTTCTAGCATTATTGTTTTCAGTTAGAAATAATATGCAATATTAACACTAGAGGATAATAACAGGATGCTTCATTGTAACTCAAGGACTATGCAGTGACTGTATGTATAATCCTTAAAAGTAAATATTAAAATAATTGCTGCTCTTTTAGGTTTTCCTTAGACTAAGAGAGTCAATTCCTAGGCAGGTTGATAAGTATGGGGTCCCCGAGGAGGAGAAAGGGGTCTGAGTCTCTTGAAGCGGAGATTGGGGTCTGGAATTCTAAAGGAGGGGAGAAGGACGAGCATCTTTTTTTTCCCTCTACATTCCTTTGTCTTAGTCACATAAAACATTTTTTTTCCTTTAAGCCCAGAACTGATGATCACACAACTAACAGCTCAGTTTAAACTCTGCAAGAAGGATCATGTGACAGCAATGTATCCTCCTTGAGGAGAGTTTCTCCTCCTGAAAGCCTTGTGGCTGATCCTGTTATCTTAAAGTGTAAATTATGGGAGTAGGTCTAGTAAGATCTTTACAACCTTGAGACATTGCTTTGATTTATTGTAATAACTAATTTAAAAAGTATATAGCTCCTTTGCTAAGACTAGCGTGAGGGGCACGATCTGTCCTCCTTCTGATGTCTATGTCAGAAGCTTTCCCTGCCCCTTTTTCACTTTAATAAAACTGCTACGCAAAAGCTTTTGAGTGATCAAGCCTGGTCCCTGGTCCCAAAGCTAAATCTTATTCGGAGACCACGAATCCGACATCGTTCACCGTCAGCTATCAAGACGTTTCCCTCATTCTTGTTGTTGTTCAGTGGCCGAGTCGTGTCTGACTCTTTGTAACCCCATGGACTGCAGCACGCCAGGTTACTTTGTCCCTTACTGTCTCCCGGAGTTTGCTCAAATTCATGCCATTGACTCAGTGGTGCTATCTAACAATCTCATCCTCTGTTGCCCTCTTCTCATTTTGCCTTCTGTCTTTCCCAGCATCAGGGTCTTATCCAATGAGTTGACTCTTCCCACCAGGTGGCCAAAGTACTGGACCTTCAGCCTTAGCATCAGTCCTTCTAATGATATCCAGTGTTGATTTCCTTTAGGGTTGACGAATTTGATCTCCTTGCAGTTCAAGGGACTCTCAAAAGTCTTCTCTAGCACCACAATTTGACAACATCAAACTTTAGTGCTCAGCCTTAAATATGGTCCAACTGTCACATCCATACATGACTACTGGAGAAACATAGCTTTGACTATATGGACCTTTGTCATCAAAGTGGTGTCTTTGCTTTTTAATATGCAGTCTAGGTCATAGCTAGACTTCCAAGCTTTCTAGGTCTTAGCTTTCCAAGTCTAGGTCATAGCTTTCCTTCCAAGGAGCAAGCGTTTTAATTTCTTGGCTAGAGTCACCATCTGCAGTAATTTTGGAGCCCAAAAGTGTAAAAATTGTCACTGCCTCCATTTTTTCCCCATCTGTTTGCCATGAAGTGACCAGACTCTTGAGGATGAGAGTGAAAAAGCTGATTTAAAACCCAACATTCCTCTGCCCTTTCTGTCAT